AAACCCTAATAGAATGTTAGAAAATAGCAACTATTCTATTACAGCATGTAAGAAAGATTATTTTTTTTTTATTAATTATAAAGACAATATTCTTTAGTAAATACTGGTGCATTTAAACGTACAAAACAAAATGATGGTACAATATTAAATAATTCATTTACATCATCTCTACCTCATTCTCAAGATCAACAACAACGTAGTCATTCATCAGCTCGTCGTCGACATCGAACAACATTTACACAAGAACAACTTAATGAACTTGAATCATCATTTGCGAAAGGTCATTATCCTGATATATATTTACGTGAAGAATTGGCACGAGCAACAAAATTAAATGAAGCACGTATACAGGTAATTGTTAAGATATTTTCACTATAAACAAAAATCTATTTATCATTCTCCCTTGAGATAGACATGAAAAATTTGTACATATAAATTCCATTTATAGCGATTTTCCACTTGAATTGTATGCCGTCTGTTATGGTAACACGGTTCATTTGATGGTACAATTTCCAGATTGAATATAGCTTGTTTCACACATGCGGATATATATTCTCTTTACATTCTTTCACTTTTTTCTTTATAAGATCAAGATGTGTCATTTTGAACAACTGTTCAGAAATCGATAAATAAAACTTGGACATATGGACTTTTCCTTTTGAATAGTGTCATTTTTTTTTCTGTTCTTGTAATATAACCTTCTTCCACATGTCAAATTGAATTATGCTTATGCATCGATGATTATTGTTCAAAAAAAAACACAATTTCGTTTTAAGGTATGGTTTCAAAATCGACGTGCAAAAGCTCGTAAACAATCACATAATTCTTCGTCATCGGGTAGTACATCAATATCATCGGTTCGTTTATCGTCAAGACCATTTTCAACTAATCCAACATCATCATCATCATTTCATCAAATGTTTAATGGACGAGCAAATGCATCAACTTCATCTCCAACAAGTATTATGATGGCAACGGATCCTTCGATGTTTTATTCATCGTTTCCACCATCATCATGTGACTTTAATACTCGTTCAACTATTGTAAGTTAATAAACAAAAGAAAATAATTATTCAAAAATTTAACGATTTTTTTTTGAGGAAAATACAATGTCATTTCATTCTCAATATCCACAACAACATCAAAATACAGAAGATGAATATACAAGAAATATGCGTATGCAAGATTTAATCAATCATCATTCGAATTTATATCATCATGGATAAAAGAAACAAATATAGAAAGAGTTGCGTCACAGGTGATAGATATCTGTTTTTTTTTTGTTTTACTCTGTATATGTGTGCGTTTTGTTTATTTCCTTTTCGTTTCCTATTATATGACAATTAATTATTCATATGAATTTTACTTGACGACAAATCCAAAAGTAATTATTTTATGTCTTCAAAGATTGCATGAAAATGAACTTCTTTTGAAATTTTACAACGAATATATATTCGTAATCTAATTTATTATTACGTAATTTTTTATAAAGTAGAGGCAACTGCTAACTCATTAGTTGATGTAAAACTTATATCTAGTTTATTTTCTAATTCAGTTGATTGGACTCTTATTTCTTTTTTTTTTGTATATGAAAAAAAGAGAATAATCAGTGATCGAAATACAGCTTGTCATCATAAGAGAAAATAATTTATAACCGACTTTGTGAGTTAGGATCCTTAATTCCGGCGGAAATTTAGATTCATTCGGTATGATCGGGTAACAGGATCCGAGTATTATTTCACATCAGCGACAGTCAATAACTGGAAAAATTTGTAGCTTTTACGACAAGCATAATTTTCAAAAATGTTTTTGGTTCTAAGATATAGAAGTAAATAGCAATTTAGTCATCTTTTTTAAAACTACATCAATTAATTTAGAAGAAGAACAATTGAACTGTGAAACATTGGAATATCGCAGACTTTTTTACATAATTTATTTTATGACATTAGAATAGGTATTATATCTATAAAAATAAAAGTTTGAAAAAAAATATCAACGTTTCTGGACAACGACTAATTAGAAAAAATTGAAATTTTCAGGACAGGCAGATCTTGACGAGTTGAGCAAAAGTTATCATAGATTCAAAGTTCTCAGATGCTATGTTTGATGGAGCTGGAAATTTGTTTTTTGTAGGTACTAGACACTGTTTGCGATGGATATTTTTTTATTTTTTGTTCTTCGAATAAAATAGTCAAAATATTGAAGGTATCCTAAAAACGCGTGTTGTTTTTTGACGAGAGCTTTTTTGTAAGAACTACCAAACAAAAATCAGTAGAACAATATTTTTTGAAACAAAATAAATACCCACTCCGAACAGTGCAAGTATATATGAAAAAATTTTTTAGCTCGATCAAACGTCCTAGACCGAAGAAACAGAACCATTTTCACACTTTTTTTTTTCATGAAAAAGTTAGTTTAAGAAAAACGCGAAACAATGTACAGTTTTCATTATTTCAGTTACATATAGTTGAATTCTCGAATTTTTTTAACGTTTAAAGACAATCTGTGGATTCCAAAAAAACTCAGTAGATTGATACTACTTCAGGCTATACAATGACCACAAAAAACTGAAAATCTCAAAAATATAATTTATCTAATATAAATTGCTAGATTACATATATTTGTTCATTCATATGTAAGGAATACGTTTTAATTGAGAGAAAAAGAAAAGCATAAACAAGTACAAATGTAGAAATATAAAATCATGAAATAAGTGGAAAATATACTTTGTTTAGCTAAACCCATAGTTGAATCAAATCCTTGATACCAAAAACTGAAAATGTATCTTGAGCAGGTTTTTTCCATCCTTCAACAGAAATGTCTAATGGTGTAAGACTATGATTAGTCCATTTTGATTATATATTGTTCCATTTTTTCCAAAGTAATTCAGATAAAAATATGAGTCGATCACTTCTTGCTAAAATTTCTATTGGGTTGTCACCATTTAATATTGTCCAACGTAAATTATATTCAAGATATGAATTAATAAACTAACACTTTTACACAGAAATATACTGGAAAATAAAAGATCATGATACTTTGTCTTGTTGATTTCATGAACATGGACGACAGACGATGACTCAATAATATTCTATGTGACGTCGAGCTAATTGGTTTCGGCTAAATGACTACAGTTATGCTTCTATGTAAAGGGGGCATAGTTTCCTGCTTTTTATTGGTGCTTTTATAACATTTTTTAGCACTCATTCAATAGTAATTTATGCTAATAGACTAACAACATGTTAGTCATTGTACTTCTCTCATACTTAAAAAAAAACATTTTGGTTTCATTGCAATTTCTTCTTGGTAGTAAGCTTTATAATTCAACAAAAATCATCTTTCTACCTTAGGGATTGATGCTGTTTTATGTCGTTTTTTGTTTCAATTTATAGTCAAACCAAAAAGTATTGGGACACTTAAGACCAATCTCATCCTTGTTCAAAATAAATTTTAGGTTAAGAACAAGCAAATTGCATGCAATTTTCAGGCCCACATTATGATGTTTTAGGGAGATAATGACTCAACAAGGGTTTATTTGGCAACTCAAAACTCTCAACTGGCCTTCATTTTATATATTTAGTTTTTTTTCTTGTTTGACAGGGTATCTCACAATGCAGAGAATGCAAGAGTCCTTGTTTCAAATTCTTATTCTTTAAGCGGAGAAACAGGATCATGAATCAAATAACTCAAAACATTCCTTTTGTTTTTCCAATTGTTTTTAGTGGTTGAATTTGTTGTTCCTTTTCTCCGCTTAAAAAGTAAGAATTTGAAAAAATGACTCTTATATGCCCTGTATTGTGAGATACCCTTTCAAACAAGAAAAAAACTAAATATATAAAATGAAGGCCAGTTGAGAGTTTTGAGTTGCCAAATAAACGCTTGTTGAGCCATTATCTCCCTAAAACATCATAATGTGGGCCTGAAAATTGCATGCAATTTGCTTGTTCTTAACCTAAAATTTATTTTGAACAAGAATGGGATTGGTCTTAAGTGTCCCAATACTTTTTGGTTTGACTGTGCTACTAGGACTGTGTGGTTAATAGGATGATGATTGATATTGATCGAAATTACGCTTTTACCTATCTCGCTTTGATATTTCAGAGCGTTTCATGATGCTTTTGTCTTTCACTTGCATTTCAAAGGGATGTGTTGCGGTTTGGACTTGAATGTATGCGAGTTCAACTGAATGATCAGTACGAAAATATTCGAAATGAGAATTATTATGTTCTTTTAGCGACAGAATGAGACTTTTACAGTTTCTATCCTTTTTTGTATGCTTAACTCGGGATTTACGTTCACATATACTCCCAAAAGTACGCAGAACTATCCAAATTGCAACACACTATATAGCAATGCAACCGAAAAGAATAGCTAATAAGAATATTGCTGAGGCAAACTTGAGCTTACTCGAAAATCAAATGAATATAAATCAGTTTTTTCGTCACACATGCTTCACAGTACTGGAGAATACACTTTCGAGCGCACGATACCTGTTATTGACTATTGTCAATGCAAACAACCTTTTGTATGTGGTAAGATCATCTGGTCAATAGAAAGAATATTCACGAGCTAGATTCTTCGAAAACTGAATTAGAAAATAATAAGAAAAATATAAATCAAAGAAGAGTTTTGTTTTTATGAGATTGATGTTGAAATACGTTTTATGAGAACGGTTGCTAAAACAGAAAATGCAAGCATAAGTCGACCTAAAAATTGAGAAGCAAACAGTGACTTCATGAGTGAGTTGATCATTTGGAATCAGATCTCAATGATATGATTTCTCTTACGAGAACTTTTTTGTAAAGCTTTCATCTGTACGATATGAACAAGACTCACACCAATGCTGATCGTCTTACAAACAAAAATTGAAGTATTTCGTTTCATTTATTTAAATAGTTCTGCACAGATACAAGCATCTAATTAGTTAATGAGAAAGAAACTATGAACGCTGATATATTTCCAAGGAAGGATATCTAATTTTATAATGCTTTTCTCGTCTACTATTCAGTCTTTTGTTTTCGTCGTCTTTGGCAACATTTTACAATAATAAAGAGAATAGATATTCCAGGTAGAACAACAAAAACGACGAATATATCAAGAAGATATCGTTGATAAAATGGCAATGTATCTTGAAAAGGGATGAAGCGATCGAAACTGCCATTCAATTGCACAAAAAATTCAATTTCTTCCACTGCTCTCTTGACACCTCCGGCATGTTTCATTTCTAGGTGCATTTGCTTAACTTCTTGTTGATAGGTGATATTCAACCAAAGTTTCAACAGTTTCTCTTGAACATCATTCGAGGTAAAAGTATAATGCCGATAATCATATGGAGTAATTAGTGATTCCCATCGTGACAAGTTCGGAATGAATAACGAAAGTCCAACACCGCGACGATCGATAGCAACTGCATTAGCAAATTGATCCATATTAAATGGCATACAAAGAATTGATTTCTCGTAATACAGTGCCTCAATAATTGAACCCATTCCACAATGACTCAGAAAGATCTTGACGGAATGTTGTTGAAGAATCCATTTTTGTGGTACAAATCCTGGTTCAATTTTTACTCGTCCAGGAGAATTGAACAGATCGCGGGTTTGATCATTGTCGATTTCGTTGAGCACTCTTTGATATAATTCATAATTGACGTTGCGAAGCGCCAATAAAACAGAACTGTCAGGGGTTTCGATGAGAAACGCCGCGATACCACCGATGAGGCTCGACATCCGTCCGTAAGGAATCAATGACGTACTTCCGAATGCGGCAAATAACACAGAATTCGTCTCTTTGGATTTCAACCAACGGGTAAGATCATTCTCACTAACATTGGCTGGTGTTTCATCTATGAATGCACCTAAATATTTCGTGTAAGGATCCTTCACTATTGGTGTGTAGAATGTTGATGGCATGCTGACCAGATGTAAACAATTCGATTTTGGAGAGAAAATATTTTTCGATGTGAAACTATTGTAGAAAGGTCCTGGAACACGTGGAAGTGAGTTGAAAACCTTATAGAACACAGGAAGAGATTTTATCAGTGTTGACAAAATCAAGCGAAATGTAAAAACTGCATTGAATAGACGAGTTGTCATTTTTGTCATGTCTGTCGGTGATAATAGCGAGAAATAATTCGGCAGATTCAAATTCAAAACATTTGGTAAAGACACCGGACCTTGAATGACGCATGGTGTTTTTATTGTATCACATAAAATTGGAATTCCAAAAACCATGGCACTGCTCACGATCACATCGAAGCGTTGTTTCATTAAAATATCGATCGTTTTATTCAAGAGAAACATACCATGTGGAATCATTATCGGAGTCATGTGGACAAACGAGTCAATAAATGAATAATTAGTGTAGAGTCCAATAATTTCTTGTTCCATCTTCTTCTCGTCGATGGCTGCTTGTATTGAATCATTAGCATAGATCACATGAATTCCAGTCAATGTTTCAAAATCTATATAACTCTTGGCCAACTGTTGAGTAAGAAATGTTACATTGTGATGTTTCATGACTTTGGCCAATTCGAGCACGGTAGTCACATGACCTGCTGCACCGTCACTCACGAACAATACATCCAGTGAAGATGATTGAACAACAAACAATAATGAGATAAGACATAAAAATAATAAAGTCATTCTTTGGAAGATTCTCGCTGTCAACGTTATCGAATGGACTGTATCACTAATGCACGTCTCATTTTATACTGCATTGTCGCATTCAAATTGGAAAATAGATTGTCGACAATCAAGCTTGTATGTAAGTAAGTCAATAGAAATATCAGCGTTCTCGTTCTTTGTTGTTCAAAAAGTACTGGTTCGGGTCACAGACATTCTGCTGTGCTCGATAAGAAAATTTTCTTTCGTTCTCTTTCGTTCGAAAAATATACAAAAGAACGCTGACCCCACTTTTTTGCATCTGTCGGGAAGGACAAAACCCAAATGGTTCGTCAATACAGCGAATAAATTTTGGGGGCAAAAAGATGGCGTGCGATGAGGGATTTACATCATAGAAAGCAAGTAGTAAAATCAATTACAGCATTTTTTCATTAGATTTTTGTCAAGAATACTGTTGTGAAAAAAAGATCGTGCGGATATGAAATTCTCTACGAAAGATCTCGTTATTGACCAGAAAATACTCAACGTCAATTTTTTTTTCAAGTCATGGCTCTCAGTTAGAATCATATCTAAACTCTTTTGCAGTTGTTGCACGAGAGTTACGACGTAGCATCATAGAAAATATGTTCAATCGATGTTTTCAGATTCACACACAACTCGTTTCATGATGTAGACTACCGGTATACATTCTAAGTTTTTTGTTTATCAGATGCTTTCGGCTAGGGCCATTGAAGTTATATGAAAAGTGTCAAAGCATCGTTTTAGTAATGTGTGTTATTTTCGATTGAATATGTGTCAGCGATAAATCGTCGTTGGCATGAGTTACATTTCTAAAAATTTCACTGCATATATATTTTTGGACGGACATATGACCACCTTATCTGTTTTTCATATATTTACTGTTTATGGTTTTTAATTTCTCTTGATAGCCTAAAACAAGTAGATTCTCCTCGTGAGAATGTTTGTCAAGTTCAACTCAGTGGAATTTGCTCAAGCTTTTTTTCACAAATACTACCGACTTAGTACTGATCGACACTGTAATGTAAAGTTTAGTGCCTCGAAGTTCGAACCGATGGAGTCTTCTCAGAGTTACTTCATTTTTCTAAATTACCCATTGTATATGAATGTCTTCAAGTTCTCTGACTCGGTGGTCTCGCATTTGCACGAAACTGCCTACAGATGAAAATATGCAAGATCCAAGCAACCTGAGGTTTCAACTTAAAGAAACATGTTCTTTAACAGATATTTAATCTGCATAGGAGAGGTGCTGCAATGATAAGTGAATAGAGTCCACAAGACCATTGCGCTCGGTCGCTCACCAGAGGTCGAATTATAGAATATTATTTTGTCATGAATGTATTTTAACGTTCAAAACATACAGTATTATGGAGATTATCTATTACTACTAAATAACCTACTGTAATGGCTTGTTTCTGTTTTGAACGAGACGACAGAGATTTGAAAGGGAAAGAAAGGGTTTTTTTCTGCCTTCATTTTTACGATATCAAAATTTACATCGTTTCTTTTACAGCTGTTCTAGTCGATACATATGCATGCACTGATGACTTATCGATCAAATTCAATAGTCGGAGGCAATTGGATTCATCTGGTCTGACAAAAATCTAACAGGTCTTTCTATCATTGTAGTCAATAAAGAAGCAGTGTTAAATGAAATTTCATTCGATTCTCGAAATTTTATGATATATTAATAATTTGCCGTCCATGCTCAATCTCATCCTCGCTCAAGAGTAATTTACGCTGAAATCGATTCATCGCGAATCAGTTGACCACTAATAGATGACAAGAGTATTGAACCGATTCTGTACGACCATGATAGAGAATCAGTCAATACTTTCTACTTGATTTAACGATCAGTACCATCGAGAATCTAAGTGACAAACAATATTTGTGGTTGTGGAGATTGTCGTGAGTTCTTCCCATAATCTTAGATGTTTGGTTACTTTGTTCATCTCTAGATCAAATTACCAAATTGATAGAATGGATTCATCAATGGTCCATCATCGTACGTGATGTCAATCGCATCCATCTTTTCTTATCCAAATGAACAATGGTCTTATCAGGAATCATTTTTGAACGAAAAAAGAACTTTGCTTCTGTTATAGTTGCAACCGTACAGATTTGTTTCGTTTGTTCGGTTTTTATTGGGGAATTATTTTGACTGAATATCGAAATATTCCTTTAATTTCGTGGGATAAAACCTTTACTCTACATTGTCAAGAGTCTATGTGCAACTGTATCCCATCCAAATGGTCATATTTTGTCCGTATTACTATATGCAGTTGATATCTCAATATCTTGGGCAATAATTCAATTGATTCATATGAGATCTTCATCTAATTAATTCAAGAAGAATATTGCTTTTAATGTTTATGAACATACTGAAGTAATCAAATATATGAAAAAAAATAAAGTCAGCTATGAAAAGAACAACAATTGAACTATGAAACATTGAATCCACTGAATGGCTTTTTTGTGTAATTTATTTTATCAAATTCAAATGGATATTGTTTTTATAGATATAAAAGTCTGAAAACAATATTTTGTTGAATGTCAAGTTTATGTATTCGATTTAGTTCATGTTCAACTAGATAGCTCTTTGCAGTCGTTCAGATCAAATTATGCGATTCAATAATACGAAGATTAAAGAGACATATTCACGATTCTTATCTTGAAATTATAATCCATTTTTTTTGTATAATTTTTCAATTTTATTGTTAAAAAAAAATAATTTGTCCAATATAAATTGCTAGATTACATATTGTTCATTAACGTGTAAGAAAAATGCTTTAGTTAAAAAAAGAGAAGCATAAACGAAAAACAATAAGAAGATAAACAAGTACAGATGTAGAAATATTAGCTGATGAACTAAGTGGAAAATATACTTTAAGTTCAGCTAAACCCATTGTTGAATCACATCCTTGATACCAAACTAAAAATGTATCTTGGGCAGTTTTTTTCCATCCTTCAACGAAAATAACTAATGGTGTAAGACCACGATTAGCCCATTCGGATGATGTATTATCACATTTTTCCCAATCTAATTCTGGTGAGAATATGGGTTGATTACTTCTTGCTAAAATTTCTGTTGGATTTTCACCATTTAATATTGTCCAACCTAAGTTATATTCAAGTGACCAACCAGGTTTTGGATTTGCAATATTTGCTCGTCGTGCCGAATTATAAAGAAATAAATAATTTTCATCACTTAATTTTAATGGCTCAGGTCCAGCTTCAACAAGTTCAGAATCAAATGAATCAGATCGTGTACGAAGAAGATAATTATTTGTTAAATTATAATGAATAAGATCTTTTGTTTGTGCTATAGCAATATTGGAATCATTAAAAAATAAATAACGATGAGTATCATTATGAATTAATAAACTACCACTTTTACACCAAAATACATCAGGAAATAAAGGACCATGATAGTTCCAATTTTGTTTAGTTAAACAATTATTTTCACAAGTAGCTAATGCTAATTGAGCACGCCAATCACCACTGGGAATTTTGCTTACAGCCGTGTAGAATCTAATAAAATTCAGATGAAATTCATTCAATAAGAATCCATACGAAATATTACGAATATAAAAATTTTAATTTGAAATAAAAACTTTTGACTTACAAGTAATAAGTTCCATTGAAAAGTACAACACGAGGATCTTCAGCTCCTAAAGATTGATAATCTTCATCGATATCAATAATAATATTTTCTTGTGTTATATGTGAATATTTCAGATAATTATTATCAATACTTTGAGCTACTGCTATCTTACTTGGACCAACATTATAAATAGTTTCTGCATCATTAAGTAAATCTTGTACACGTACTAATAGTGTTATTGCATTTGGATCATCTATCATAGGCATAAAAGCACTATTATAATTATATAAAAACTCAGAATTCTTATCCCATGATGAAATAATAGGTTTAGTTGACAAACGCTTCATTTCAAAACGTGGTGGAACATAAGATACACTGTATGAACTCCATAATACGACAAAAAATAAAATGATGTATACTTTTGATACAGACATACGGGAGTCTTTCTTACAACTGCAATATACAGATCACTATTTTATATTAA